GTGAAAGCCGATCCGGCGATCCACAGCGCGAAGTTGATGTATTTCCTCAGCGACCAGCACTGATCAGCTCCAGGCATGACGAAGCGGATATCGTCCTCTTTTGGAAGGCCAAACAAAGTAGTTTCGCTTTCACAACAAAACACACAGCGTCACACACGGCTTGAGTGAGCGGAGGCCGGAGGCCTAGAGTGAGCGGAGGCTTGAGAACGGTGGATTCGACGAAGGAGCGGCCGGCGGACTTGCGGCAACCACATGTGACGACCCTGGGCTGGACTCCGCTTCTTCCACGGTGAAAGCCGATCCGGTGATCCACAGCGCGAAGTTGATGTATTTCCTCAAACGAGCCGTTTTAGGTAGGTGTGGCTGACTCTTAACTTTTATAAAGAATATCTCTTTGGATTTGAGACTTTAGTCTTTGCAACTTTACAGATCTTCTTTATGCACCAAGAGCTTGTAACACTTCAAAGAGAAAGGAAAAATTGAAATCGCATCATATGACCCCTTTAAAGGCGATTTTCTCAGTATTTTGATTTTTTTGCACCGTCAGATTCCAGATTTTCAAATAGTTGTATCTCAGCCAAATATTGTCCGATCCTAATAAACCATACATCAATGGAAAGCGTATTTATTCAGCTTTCAGATGATGTATAAATCTCAATTTAAAAAAATTTACCCTTATGACTGGTTTTGTGGTCCAGTGTCACATTTGTGATGTTTAGAGCGAGCTCGAGATCAATGTCAGAGATCAAGATGAACTCTTTTTATTCAGCCGTGACTGACATGTACTCTGTACTGTTGATGGTTGTTCACTCCTCTACACAAATCCATTACTAATGCTGAGTCCAGACAAATGCTGGCAGCATTACAGCCCAAAGGCTAATTAAAACAGACCTTTACATCTGCTTTACTGCTGAGCTTTTGGCTTATTCAGCAGTTCTTTAACGTCTTAATGCATATTCAGGAATACCGACCAACTAGAGGATTAGAGAAGGCAGACAACATCTCAAATCTTATAAAACGGATAGTTACAGTCCTGGATGCTAATCGACCTTCATTATGACCCCGAATCTGATCTGCATAAGCCCTGTGTCCAAAATATAACACATCACGCATGGCTGACAGTGAACTCTGACTGCAGCTTGCCTAGAAAGAATCAAAGCTTTGGCTAGGTGAAATATAAAGTTATTTGCTTTTAGTTAATAAAGTAGATAATTTAAGTACAAACAGACATTTAGTTTAGTATATAAATTGGTTGATCTTTGGTAAGTTTTGACCACACAAATGGTAGCTATTTAAGCTCTCCTGACTGTATTTGTGACACAATTTTGAAAGCAATTGAGTAAGTTAATGACATGAATAATTAAGAAGGAAAAAATATGGGTAACACTTTGCAATAAGGTTCATTAGTTAACGTTAATTAATGCATTAACTACTGTTAACTAACAATGAGCAATACAATTGTTACAGTATTTATTAATCTTCGTTAAAGTTAATTAAAAAAGTACAACTGTTTATTGTCAGTTCATGTTAATATTAACGGATAAAACTTTATTTTGGCCTTTTTCAAGGTATACTTTCATCAAATGGTGGACTGATATAAATACTGTATAAATAAATAGATTGTTTATATAAATAATTGGTCATATTTATGGATGAAATACTATGAAATAAGAATTAAGACCACAAATTAAGCTTAAGATGCTTTAAAAATCATATCAGAATGATTGTA